AGCAGCGACTACCTCAACGTCAATGCCAGCACCAGCAGAAGCCTCAAGAATCTCTAGCACCTTTCTCACATTGGCAACGAGATCCACAAACACGTCGCGAGCATCGTAAATTGGGGCCTGCCGCTTATACAACTCCTTGACCTCGTCCTCAAGAACCGGCGGCTCTGGTTTCTGAAGAAGCTCGATGAACTCCAGATTCGCATCGATCTCGGCGAGGTCCAGCATGTCGGCCTTGCCATTCCCATCAATCTCTGTAAGTAACCTAGTAACCTCGCTGACTCGTCCCGCAAAGCCGTGAGACATCTCATCTCTTGTTCTAGTAACAACTTCATCAACTCTAGCATCCTGGAGATCATTAGCAGAGCTCAGCTGACTCTTCAACGAAGCTATCTCTTCCTTGTCATTGGCACGTCTCGACTCGATCTCCATCAACTTAGCATCCCACTCCTCCTTTTTCCTTTTCATTGAAAGAGCATCGTTCTCAGGAGCCCTGTTCTTCTCGACAAGCTCGTCTAGCCTCGACTGCAGGACGATGTTGGCCTCTCTGGCCTCGCTAAGCTCACTTTCCCTAGTACGAACATCCTCATCACAATCACCAACCAAGTGATTCAGATGAACAAAAAGCTGCATACAAAGGAAGGAGATGTAATATCAAAACAAGAGAAGCTAAGTCATAAGGAAAATATCAAGTGAGAGGAGAATCAAACCTCCGAAGCCTTGGATCTCGTCAATGCATAAGCCTTCCCGCGAAGCAACCCGCCGACCGGTGGGAAAACGGCGCCAGGGGCCGAAGACATAGAAGTAGGAAAAACTGGAGTTGTAGCCGTCACATCATGACTCACCGGCGCTGCCTTCTCAGCAACAGCTGCGGGGGATGCGTCCATTCTCTGTCTCTTCGAGAGGCTTCCGTTAGGAATACCTTTTCTCTTACCGCCAGAAAGGAGAGCTCTCTTCCGTGACTGATCATTTCGCCTCGCAACCTCATCAAGAGTAAGGGAAGAAGAGTGAGGACGCAGGACCGAAGTAGCAAGAGTCATCGGCGCTGCATTCGATGGAGCTTTTACCCGCGACGATGTGGCCACCGAATCCACGGTCGACGGCACCACAGTCTTCGGCTCACTGATGCCCGACGCCTTCGCTGCCCCCGCTGCTCTAAGCAAAGCTCTCTGGCTAGACGATGACCTATCCTCACCCCGTCCGAGAATCTTTCCTGGAATGAATACAGCGGAGAGCGCTCTCTCGATTCTCTGGTGGCTAAACGATCCTAACCAATCATCCTTCCTGAGGCGAGAGTCCCGTGAATAGCAGCAACAATGCCTAAGTCAATCGCAGGAAACACTTACTTCACTGCAAGAAGATGATAAACCGAGAAGTCAGCATGCAAGGCAACACACGTAAAAAAAAAACTAAGTGTTGGTTACCTCTTTTCTCCCATCTCGTCTTAACGAGGGCAACACAGCCCGCTTCAACGGTTTTCTCAAAA